CCCCAAAACCCCAAAACCCCAAAACCCCAAAACCCCTAGATACCGAAATAGATATTTTGGTAAAAAAATTATTTTCTTTATAAAATTAAACTTAGACAAATATTATACAACAATTTCAATAAATTCATCGTTATCTCCTCAACTCAAAAACCAATTTGATTCTAGTTAGAGATTTATAGCTAAGGTTAAGCTTGAGGTTGTTACTTATTATTGCTAGCAATATATTCCATATTATCAATCAGTTCTTTTAGACCTTGATCATTCATTCTTTCTAATGCATAGCTATTCATCACATCAATAAACTTCTAAGAAATTTACTCCTTTTCCCCAACATATTTCAATATTGCTTCAAGAACTTAATAGTTAGATTTCTTTGCTTTGGTGAGTAATCTCATCTGAACCTCTTACTCATTTTGATAGATCTCATATAATAGATTGGTCATCTCTCCGTTTTGTCTCAACTTAACTAGAATGTTTTTTCTTTCTTTTGAATATTTTGGAAAATAGTATTCAGTTGCTGTAGCATAATTAATATTGATATCTTTAAATGTAGATTAATGGAGCTTATCAAATCTGTTGATAAAAGATTCAGATTTTTTTATATAGTCGATGCTTGAGCATCTACCAACAATGATTTAATCGAATTCCTAGCACAATTTAAAGCTGGTAAATATCTCATGATTATCTTTTAAGTTTCTTAATAGAATAGCTTAGGGTAAGGAAGTATGCAAGGTCTTCTAAAAAAAATTATCTTTATTAATAAAGCTTATTTTAAGGTACATATTAAAGAGTTATGTCATATTGTTTTGGTCAGCAATGTTAGGGTCGTTATAAATTTGAAAGATAAATATCTTCTATTTTGGATACAATCTTAAGTTTTACTCTTAATTGTTAAACATCACACTTTTTGTAATGGATGGCTTTAAAGTATAGAGTTTATTGTAGTCAGATATCACAGCATAAAATAGCTTCAAAAAATTTATTGCGGAAATCATTAAACCTAATTTCTATTCTAATTGGCAAAGAGTATCAGCTTATTTTACTTATTTTCTAAGGTAGTGAACAGATATTCTAGAACATTCATTCCATAATTGTTCAGTCACATTTTTTACATTGCACTGTTGAATGGTAATATTTGTCTTTCTGAATAAATCTTGCAATTCTTATCATTTTTTATTTTCATTATTATACTGAATCTATGATTAGGACATTAAAAAAGGATTCTAATGAAACTGGCCTGGCTTTACCACTTAGCTTTTAGAAAGACCAATAATTTGAAAAGTAAATTTCTGTAACTTTGTTTCATTATCTATATTCAACAAGCATGATAAATTGTTATCATGTGATCCTTAACAGCTGAAGATTTAGTTTCTGTTTGGTTTCTGATAATTATGGGATTTATATTTTTCTAATATTCTATTGACATCTTGGGAAAGCTCGTAATCCAGTTTTTCAACATTCATCTTAGAAATATTTCTATAGTTATGAGGTATAAAGCTATTATTGAATAATTTGGCTCTCAAATCATATCCATATGATAAGCAAATCTTTTTGTAATTCTCATCAATTTCTTCATCTATTTATAATTCTACTAGCTTTTTAAGTAAGTTATTCTGATCAACATATAGTTTAAATTCTTTAATTCTCTCCTTATAATTCAAATCCTTATAATTTGCAATATAGAGATAGATTTTTTAAAGAAATTTCTTCACGTCATCTAAAGCAGCTATACAAAAATGATTTCAGATATCTTCTATAGTTTTCTATTAGTTTATTTGCTCTAAAGATTTAATAAGAAAGTAAATATTACCTAGAATCTGAAAGAGTGAACATTTTTGAGTATTACTGAGATGAGGTTTCCAATCAGGATCATCAAACACCTGTATCCAGTTTTAAATATAGTGAAAATCTTTCTTGATTAATTCCTTCTAATTATCATTTATTATGTCCAAAATATCCCAAAGATCAAGGACTTACTGCTATGAAGAATGATTTCAATTGAGAGTCAAATTATTAAAGATAATAGTTAACACTCTTTAACTTATGAAGTTCTATGTTTGGGATCATTATATTCTTAAGAGGAGTCAATCCACCCTTGCACTCTATTATTGCAGAGTTAACAAATTTGGTGATTATAGGATTAATCAGTAGGTTTTTGAGGAATCTATTCTTATCTCCAGCTAGTTGATGCTAAGAAAGCCTTAAATGATGGATACTAGAAAAACCAAAATTTGTTACAAAGTCCAAGAAACTCTAAAATAGCTAAGAAAGTTTCTGCATTACCTGTGTATTAAGCTAAGCTTTAAAGCCAAGACTTTCATCCAGGCAAATGCCTGATCTCTTTTCGTTTGGATAGAATAAATGAGAGTTGAATACTACTGAAAATCTGAGTGATTGAGAGCCTATCAAGGGATAATCAACAAAGAAGTTAGGAATGCAAGAATCCTTCTCACAAATTTCATAGAAATTTTCTTCAGTTTTTAATACCAAGCAAGCCAATTAGGTATACTTATTGAATGAATGGATCAAATATTTCTCTTCATCATTAATAAAATATTTTAGTATCTCAGTTTCTCCAGAGACAACTACTGGATCCCTTTCGATTCTAAAAGTATATTGCTGCCTTTGTTATTCAGTCTTATCAAATATCTCAATAGTTTCAATCTTCTTGCTAAAGGCAATGACATATGGGATTGATGCAATTAAATTCTTTAGTCCCTCCTTAGCATTTCTAACACCTTGTTCTGAAAGATAATAAGTAAATGTGGTATCAAAGTCCAATCCAGATTCATAGTTTGATAAAAATGGCCAATTTTCATGATTATCGAGGTTTTAGAGCACTTCTGAGGATTTTTTATTGTAACTTAGCATTTAATTGACATTTTTAGTATCTCTATTAAGTACAAGCTAGAATTTCTTATAATGGGGAAGATCTTTGTCGATGTGCTTAAAGATTCCATTTACTGAAACTCATTTCGAAAGTAAATAAGTAGTTAAAAAGCCTGTGCCAAACCTTCCTGTAGTTTCTGGAATGACCATATTATCAAGATTCAGGATTTAAACATTATTGATCTACTGCGAAAAAGCATTGTTATTTCCTTGTAAAAAGGAATCAAAATCATCTTTAGGCTAAAGTTATTCACTAAAATACTGAGGTCTGTCTTTATCTGAGCCCTTATCAACTAGGTTCATGATATCTTTGAGGCTAAAGGGCTTTCCATTGTGCAAGAATCTCAATTTATCATATTCCAAGATTATCCTAATTTTCACTGGCTTTTCAGGATCAGAGGCATCTTAAGCATTTTGGATAAGTTCCCATCCCCATCTTTTTACTGAATCAGGCTCAGTTTCAAGTTAGTCGATGCTATCTAGAATACTCTTTGCTATCTGAATGTTTCTCTCTTCAATTCTCTATTTTTCATAGAGTTGACTAAATTATACTGAAGAATCTAGTGCTTGCATTTTAAAATTTAAAATTAATTATAATATCCTGATCATAATTCTATTATATAATACTAATCTAACAAATTTTCACTAAAGCTTCCTTTTGGGGTTTTGGGGTTTTGGGGTTTTGGGG